GTATGGGGAAGACCTGCCTGGGGGGTCACACCGGGATTCTTGTTAGCACAGCTCTCCAGTTATAGCACTCCGTGACCCAGAGACGGCAGGTTCCTCGGTCTATGGAGGGTCCTGCGGGTGCACATTGCTCATGTGGGAAGGGAGCAGAGATTAGTGGTTACAGCAGGGGAGCAGGGCTCAGGGGATCCATGTTCTGTTCCCAGCCCTACCACAAAGTCTCTGGGTGACCATGGGCAAGTCACTTAGGAGGGAAATCTCAACATAGGGAGATTCTGACATAGGGATAGAACTGGCTGACCTCCACGGGTTGGGGACACTCAGACCCTGTGCCAGTGTGAAGGGGCCTAACAGGGGGTGGAAACATTCCCCCAGGAATTCCCCGTGTCCTGCACAGCCCAGAATCCAGGAAGCACAAAGGGGTTCAAATCCACACACCCCAGCCCTCCTGAGAATGGAGGAACAGAGCAGGGGAGAGTCGGGCCGTACCTCACTGCCGATGGGGGTAACCACAGTGAGGAAGAGCAGGTCAGCCAGAAAGAGGCAGAGGCAGAGCTGCAGGTGGAGGGAGGTGCTGACGTTGCGGATGGAGCGGCACAGGAGGAAGGTGAGGATGGCGAGGAAGAGGCACGGCAGGGAGAGGGTCAGTCCCACGTAGGTGATGATGGTCAGTGGCTCACTCTCCTGTAACACAGCAAAGGGAGAATAAACAGTGAGCCCAGCCCAGCCCCCTCGGCTCCGACTCAGCCTTTTCCCAAGCAAAGCCTCCAGTCGCTCCCGGGAGAACTTTGCCCACGGCTGAGTGTGGAGCTCAGGGTCCTGCGCTGTGATCTGAGTCTCATGGTGAGATACCGTCACTGTGGTGGGAGCCATTAGGATGGTGAATCTGGAGAGATGGTCACAGCTGCAGTTGGTGTGAGTGCTGTTTATGTGCACGGTGGTGCAGCCGTCCGGAGACCAGCTGCCGCTCTCGGCCACTACTTTCCAGTAGACGCAGAGAGCCTCTTCCTCCTCTTTTTTGACCTGGAAATACAACAGAATCATCCTCATCCTCATGGGACCACGGAACGTCATTTCTGTTATCACATGTCTATAGCAAACCCAAGGCCACCTACAGCTCCACGGCTCTCCCCATGCAGCCCCCAGTGCCCACTGGGGCCATCCCGGTGACAGCGGAGAGAGAACGGAGAACCCACTGCTCCAAAAGCACAGGCCCTGCTATTGGAGCAAAAGGGAAATAAATCCTTGCTAGCTGTTAGCACTATAAGGAACGTGGCACATGGCTGAGCAGTTCTGACTGCATCCAGCAGAGGGCAGTGCTGTGTGCACACATACACATATGCACCCTAACCACTTCATTACTGTATCAAAGTGTTTCATGCTGATTCCCTGAACCCCAATC